GGCCCACACTCAACAAATTTTCTAGATCCGACTCTATCGAGACAATGGCAAGAGGCGGGCCGACCAAAGAGGACTTTGATGTTAAGGTCGACATTATATGTTTCGTTTATATATAGTATACTTTTAGTATATATTCTCGTCGGCACTCTATGTTTATGTTTATGTTTGATATATAACGCACTACTAGATTTTACTAATTTCCACATGTTTGTAAAATTACCTCCTATAACGTGTGTTTATGTTGAGTATATGTCTTATTATTATTATTATTTTTATAACAGGACAAGTTTACTAATTTACACATGTTTGTATTGTATATTGACTATAAACGCAATACTCTGACTCAAAATTAAAACACGTGAGAGCTGAAATGTATGAAAAAAAATGTTATGTAAATAAAAAAGGCAATTTATTCGTAATATATGCTGACTATAAACGCAATATATTCCGTCCATTCAAAATACGTGAGAGCTGAAAACTCCCATAACAACTTGCGCAGTTTAGGAGGAAATAGTTACATTTTATTTGACAACTAAAATTTTGGCGCATATATTTGCAATAAAATTACAATTATTTATAAAAATAAAGTTTGCAAATTAGGGACCGTATTATAGGAGAGTTGGCTGTTGGTAAAATCATTAATGGTCGGTAAGTTGGGCCTTTAGATTATTTGATCACAAACCGAAAGTCACTCTCTCCATAACAATCTAACTGCCAACAACTCCCATAATTCCTCCCACATAGAAAATCAAAACAAATGCGTTTGAAAATTTTCCCATCTCTCTTAATTAATTGCACGCCGCAAAAATACCTAACCTACCTTGTTAATAAAAATCACCCTCATCCTTTCCCCTTCTTCCCATTTGCACTGTTTTCTCAGTCACTTCAGCATGGCTACGGTTGACTACGCTGCTTTTCTTGCGGTTATACTCATTTTCCAAGCTTATTCCGTCACCGCCAACTTCACTATTCCGTTCCTTTCCCCTCTAATAGGTTTTGTTCTTCTGTTTCTTGTTATGATTTCTGGATTTTTTGGACTTTTTTTTAAAAAAAAATAAATAAATTGTTTCTCATTATCTGATTTTTGGGGGTTTGTTTGTGGAGTAATTTATATATTAAAAAAAATAAAAAAAAAACATGTGGACAAAAAAAAAAAAAAAAAAAAAA